ATGCTCACTTCCATATTTTTGCTAAAAACACAAAACCCTCCTCTCTCCAAGCAGAGCTGCTTCCCTCTGTAGTTCCACAACATTTGAGATTGGCCTAGATCACAGTAATATTATAGTACATTATTAATATGCATTATTACTTTAAGGAGCTAGTGTAACATAATGGTTACATTTGTGGCCATGAAGCAACAATACCTGTGTTCAAATCCCAGTTGGGTGGCCACACCTGTTTATTCATCCATAAAATAAAGAAAAACAAATGTATAGGGTTTTTATGAAGATTTAATTAATGAGACAGGCTAAGCGCAGTGGCTCACGCCTGTAATCCTAGCACTCTGGGAGGCCAAGGTGAGAGGATCACTTGAGGTCAGCAGTTAGAGACCAGTCTGAGCAAGAGCAAGACCTGTCTCTGCCAAAAAAACAGAAAAAATTAGCTGGGCTGGGTGGCCCGCACCTGTAGTCCCAGCTACTCAGGAGGCTGGGGCAGGGAGTTTGAGGTTGCAGTGAGCTATGATCACGCCACCGCACTCTAGGCTGGGTGACCAAGTGAGACTCTGTCTCGAAAAAAAAAAAATTAATGAGACAAAGAAACTACTAGCAGACTGCCTAGAACATAGAAGGGGCTTATCAAATGTTGTTTATCATAATTCCATCTCCCTTCCAAAACTACGAGCTGGAACACAGTTCCATTCACTTTTCGCCCATCACAGTACAAGACCTCAACTGAATTAGCAATTTTGAGGCATTTTCTACCCATACCATGGCCACTCTGATTTGTAATAAAACCCTTAACTATCAGGAGGTTGAATAATTGTTACATTAAATGGATATACAGTTAGACCTAAAAGAAAACAAGCAGTGAAATCAAAAGAGATCATATATACTTAAATTGCATAAAATATCAAATTTCATTTTCAATTGTTTGATAATTTTACTAACGGAAATAAATGTATCTCAAAATGTACTTCTGTTTTTTTTTTAAGACAAGGTCTCAAGGCTGGGTGTGGTGGCTCAGCCCTGTAATCCCAGCACTCTGGTGAGGCCGAAGCAGGAGGATCGCTTGAGGTCAGGAGTTCAATACCACTCTGAGCAAGAGTGAGACCCCGCTCCCCCCACCCCATCTCTACTAAAAATACAAAAAATTAGCCAGGCGTGGTGACACACGCTATAGTCCCAGCTACTCAGGAGACTGAGGCAGGAGACTCACTTGAGCCCAGGAGTTTGAGGTTGCTGTGAGCTACGCTGACAGCACTCTAACCCGGGTGACAGAGTCTCACTTTGTCTCAGGAAAAAAAAAAAAAGACAAGGTCTCACTCCGTCACCCAGGCTGGAGTGCTCACTGTAACCTTGAATTCCTACATTCAAGGGATCCCCCTGCCTCAGCCTCCTGAGTAACTGGGACTACAGGCATGCCCCACCACGTCCAACTAATCTTTTTTCTTTTTTGTAGAGACCAGGTCTCGCTATGTTGTCCAGACTTGGTCTCCAACTCCTGGCTCAAGCGATCTTCCGCCTTGGCCTCCCAAAGTGCTGTGATTACAGGTGTGAACAACCACGCCCAGCCCCAAAATGTAATTCATAACTTTGTACTTCCTAAGAAGCTTAAAGTTAGGTAATCACATAGGTGATTTGGATGAACAGTACTTTAGGACTCCTAGTTTTCATAGTTTCCAAAGTGTCTTACAACTTAGGCATTAAAGCTAAGATGAGGCATAAAAACAAAGGTAAGAACTGTGCTCTTCCTTTCTCCCTCATTCCTTTCTTTTATCTGTTTCACTCTTTTAACTTTAAGCCAACGCTTCACTCACATTACACTGTACTAAATAGTAGACTTCAAAAGAAGAAAAAATGAAGATAAAATAGAAATGTAAACAGTAAATAACCCCCAAAAAATCCAGAGACAGAAAACAAATTTGTAAATAAATACTGAACAAAATTTCAACTTAAACTTTCCTATGATGTAAAGAAGAAGAAAGACCATCTTTAGTTACAATTAAAGTGACCTCTACCCTAACTGCATTTTCATCAAACCTCCACACCCAGAACTGGCTAAATTTAGCATATAGGACAAAGTATGAGTATAGATTAATAGCGTAGCCTTTAGGGTCAGACGTAAGTCCAGGTACAGCCTTTCCTTGAACCAACAAGTTCTGCCACTTACTAGCCATATAACTTCTGTAACACTGGATTCATGATCCCCAAAAAGAAGATAAAGAGGACTAAATGAGATAATGTATGCAGAAAGCACTTAACATACTGCATGACACAGAACAAGTATTCAGTAAATCTCTATGATATTGTAATGATGCTCCTTTAAGCTTAATTTTCATAAATTATGGTACTTGCATAAAATGGAATACAATTTTAAAAATGTAAAATGAGGCAGCGTTTTTATTCTGTTGGGTTTTGTTTTTGTTTTTGTTTTTTTGAGGCAGAGTCTTGCTCTGTTGCCCTGGCTAGAGAGCAGTGGGGTCATCATAGCTCATTGCAACCTCAAACTCCTGGGCTCAAATGATCCTCCCCCTGGCTTCCCAAGTAGCTGGGACCACAGGTAGACCACTACACTCAGCCCCACTTCTGCTTTTTTAATACAGATATTTATATATATATGTGCTTGTACATACATACACAGAATGTCTCTTGAAGAATACATAAGAGTTGGGTGTGGTGGCTCATGCCTGTAACCCTAGCAATTTGGGAGGCCAAGACAGGAGGATCACTTGAGCCCAAGAATTCGAGGTTGCAGTGGGCTATGATGATACCATAATACTCTAGCTGTGGCAACAGGGTGAGACCCTGTCTCAACAACAACAAAAAAATAGGCTTGGTGGCTCATGCCTGTAATCCTAGCACTCTGGAAGGGCTAGGCGGGAGGACTGCTGAGGTCAGTTCAAAACCACCCTGAGCAAGAGTGAGACCCCATCTCTACTAAAAATAGAAAAATTAGCCAGGCACAGTGGCCCATGCTTGTAGTCCCACCTACTCAGGAGGCTGAGACAGGAGGATTGCTTGAGCCCAAGTGTTTGAGGTTACAGTGAGCTATGATGACAACACTGCACTCTACCTGGAGCGACAAGAGATGCTGTCAAAAAAAAAAAGAATGCATAAACTAGTATTAGAGGGGCCGGGCGTGATGGCTCACACCTGTAATCTTAGCACTCTGGGAGGCCGAGGTGGGTCAATTGTTTGAGCTTGGGAGTTTGAGACCAGCCTGAGCAAGAGTGAGACCCCGTCTCTACTAAAAAAAAAAAAACAGAAAGCAATCAGTTGGACAACTAAAAATATACATATAAAAAAATTAGCTGGGCATGGTGGCACATGCCTGTAGTCTC